TTTTTTTAAAGATTTTATTTATTTATTTGAGACAGAGACAATGAGAGAGAGCACCTGAGAGGGGGGAGGGTCAGAGGGAGAAGCAGACTCCCTGCTGAGCAGAGAGCCCGATGCGGGACTCGATCCCGGGACTCCAGGATTACGACCTGAGCCGAAGGCAGTCGCTTAACCAACTGAGCCACCCAGGCGCCCCGAAACTTTACTTGTTTCAACCAAAAGACAGGGAATGGCCATGGAAGCAGGCAAAACCACCAATGTGCACTATGAATATTTTCCACCTTCTTTTGGTGCTCTCACCAAACAGTGATTTCCCCTCACTTCCCACTCGTATACATCAAACAAGCCACCTCCAAATAAAGAGCAAAGGCAAACAAAATAAAATACACACAAGAGACCCAAGAATTGAGAAAGCAGCCAAAAGCCTTGAAAGAATGAGTGAATGATTCCATTTTCCCCAACCTCTGGCCTCTCATTAATTACCTACCGGAAGTCTGGGCCAGAGCTTACATAATTATATCATTTCTATCGACTTACTGATAATGGATTCCTGCTAGCATGGTACAGTAGAAGAGAATGTGACATTGTGCTTGGCAGGGCAATGGAGGGTGCCAAACTGACCCAACTCCCTCAGCCTTTGCCCAGTGACCTGCAAATTCTGTCCTGGAGCCTCTGGGGACAAATGGAACTCAGCGAGCTCTTTAACGTGAATAAAGGGGAAAGACCACGAATGCCCTGGGAGGGTTCGAGACAAAATGGATTTCCTCCAGAAGTAAAGGACAAACTTTGCCCATAACTGACCAAGCCAGCCAGCACTCCAGGACCACTCCAAGGTAATCACAACCGCGCATATCTCCTCATTACTTCTGTTGTTCCCAGAATCCTCTAGGCTTCTGTGGACACTGCCAAGGCTGGACTTCAAGGCAGATCTCCGAAAATTTGAAAGCATCCTGAGATCACCAAACTCTTTCTAGCCACCCCACACTGGAATCAAATGTTAATAAAGGCTGTTGAGACCATAGCTCCAACAGACTTTAGCCCCTGGAGATCTCTCTTTCCTTTTTTTTTTTTTTTCCCTTAACATCTCCTTTCTGAGAACAGCTTGAGGAAATCCACAGTATCAGAACATCCACACCCTCTTCCCAGTTCAAGAACTAAAAAGAGAGAACTCTCCTTTTAATAATTACCAGTTATCATTTCACAACAGAAGGCTTTGCGGTTTCTGTCACCTACGATCAATGAAGATTAAATTAACATCCTGAAAACCCACACGATTATTCCACAAACATACCTTAGGCTCCCTCCTCGGTGCCAAGCACTATGGTAAACTCTGGGGACACGAACATTAATAAGACACAAGTCCTGCCTAAAAGGGATGACTCAGGAAAAACGCGTCTAGAGTAGCATTTTCAGCTGACCCTCAGGCTGTGATGAAGCGGGAATATAGAAGTAATCTCTTTTTTAAAAAGCTCTCATCTCCCAGAACCAAGCATTAAAATTGCAGCTGTCCTGTGGACAGATGGCCCAGGGTGCGCAGTTCAGAGCTCCCTCCCTTCGGCAAGCCTCCTCTCTCTGCAGACTGCAGAGCCCAGTGCCACAGGCTGCGAGGGCACCCCCACGCCCCCCCCCAGGCACCCCCCAGCCTGCAGGAGGGCTGTGAGCCTCTCCCCACCCTTTGCCCCTCCTCCACCAAGCCTCTCAAGTGGTCTCCCCAACCCTGTTAAGGGCTGAGTTGTTTCCCCCCCCAATTCTATGTTGAAATCCTAACTCCCACTACCTGAGAATTTGACTGTATTTGGAATCAGAGTCTTTTAGGAGGTGATTAAATTAAATGGGGTGATTAGGGTGGGTCCCAATCTAAAATCTAAAACTGGCGTCCTTGTAAAAAGAGGAGACTGGGACCTAGACACGCACAGAGGGAAGACGGTGTGAGCACACAGGGAGAAGTCACCCATCAACACGCCAAGGAGAGAGGCCTCAGGAGAAACCACAGCTCCTGATAGCTTCGTCTCAGACTTGGCAGTTTTCAGAACAGCGAGGAAATAAATCCCTGTTGTTTCAGCCACCCACACTACGTTACTTTGCTGACAGCCCTAGCAGACCAATACAAACCCCATCTACCACTCTCAAAATGCGGAGACACTACAGAAAACTCCTAGGTTTTCAAGGTGCCCCTCTTTTTCCCCCCAGTCCTGAAAGATCAGGCAGGTAAAACGAACGAGACTTCTCCCTCTTCAGACCGAAATGGTACAGCCTACTACCCTGGGACACGTGCAGGACCACCCCTGTCCAGCTGCCCACACGTGCCACCCAAAGCCTGTCTTCTTCCTCCACTGACAAGCCCCCAGATCCTCTCAAGGCGCTGCACAACCTGGCTTGGACAAGCCAACGGAGCTCTTGCTGAATCCAGCTTCACGTGATGGGAACAGATTGTGAACTATACATTTGCCAATTTTTCCCCTGTGCCAGACCATTTTTAAGTGATGTGTGCACAGAATGGCATTTAAAGGCCTTAAATATCTCTCCAGGGAGAGAAAAGAGCAGAAAATAGCCCCTGGAGCTCACATAATGTCAGCCAGGACAGTTGAGGCCGACTTTGGGTGGGTTTTCTGTTTGGGTTTTTTTTGGTGGGGGGGGGGCTTCTTTTCTGGTTGGTTGTTTTTGTTGTTTTGGCTTTGGGGCTGAAGGAAAGGAGCAGAAAAGACAGAACACCTAGTTTCCAAGCAGCAAGTTAGGAAAGTCACTTCTAGATGGGGGGGGGAGGGGGGCAGGCTTAGGGTCTACTGAATTCCAGCTCCTTCGAGTGGAGGGTGAGCAAGCTTCAGGGACTGTGTGATGACCCTGCAAGCAGCTCAGCGTGTGGGGACACCCAGCCTCCACCTCAAACCCACCCCCTTTCCTGCACAAGGGCTTGGTTGTTTTTTTTTAAAAAGTGTTTTTTTAAGCAGCACTTCCTGTTATGTTGGAGGAAGGCTTGGGCCGTTTTATTATTAAGCAATTCTCTTTTTTAAGTTACCGAAAAAAAAAAAAGAGAGAGCGAGACCATATTTCCACCAGGCTAGAATCGGCCTTACTCAAGCATCCATGTTTTAAATCTCATATTTTCTTAAGCCCTAATTAAGCCTTCCAAGAGCTCGCTCTGTTTAATTTGCATTCTGAAACACAAAATCTAATGTGTTTTAACATTGTCTGCTTCAGCTGAAAAGGAAACTGTAAATTTATACAGTCTGGTTTAAAAAAAAATTGGCAATTGCATCTTAATGAGTCTCTGGAATGGGGTTGGGCAGAGCCCCAAGCCCCGTCCTTAGCCTCCCATCCCCTTCTTTCTCCACTTCCCATCCCCCTTCTCCTCTTTCCACCAGTCCCTCCTCTGCCTTCCACCCATCCCCCTCCTCCTCCTCCACTTCCTCTTCCCATCCCCCCTCTACTTCCCATCCCCCTCCTCTTC